GAATGCTCTAGCATTTACTAGATATGGGGTAGTCTGGTATATAAAAGAGGGTGACAACGTGACAGAATAATGTAAGTGTGTGTTTAGGTAGTGAGTAATTGAACTGCAGTCAGAAGTATTGTTGACGTTCGTTGTTATAGCGTTTGTTTTTGCGCGATTGTTGAAATTAAGTGTATCGTAAAGTTATATTCGGAAAGAATAAACCAGTTTTATTAAGTAAAGACTTGTGTCGTTAAAGTTTCGTCGGAACGAATTTACGGAAAATCAATTAACAAACGGAGACGTAACAATACCTTGTCTGTTGATGTACTTCACTAACAACATAGACGAAATTCCTTCGAAACGTCGTTCTTTTCCATTTCTAGATTAGTCCTTCAAGACTTTATTCGCAAGTGACACGCTGTACTAAGTAATTGCTGACTGTTTCACCTATATTTGTTTGGTATATGGTTCAGGTTACAACACGATATTTATTACAGATTTCATTTTGTACTGTTTTTAAATAGACATGCGTTTAAATATGTTTGGACCTATACTGTTTTTACGACAGGGAGAGAAACAAAACGACAGAATCGTGTTAGTTCTGAGCTATCCAGAGGCGAGTCGTGTGACCCAATCGAACAGTTTGTCGCTAATTCACGATGACGAGAAACCCACTAGAAGTAAATATATGTATAGTAGAGACGGCTTATACGAGTATTAAAATCTTTCACTTAAAATAAAAAACAAGGAACAACGTTTCGACCTCCTTAGGTCATCATCAGGTTAATGATGGAGTTTGACGTTAAGTTTGTTTGTTTGAAGTTAAGCACAAAGCTACACAATGGGCTATCTGTGCTCTGCCCATCACGGGTATCAAAACCCGGTTTCTAGCGTTGTAAGTCCGCAGACATACCGCTGTGCCACTGGGGGGTCTTCCGAGATATTAACGGCCGAGACACCAGAAGTTACTTGCGTCTCGTGTGGTCGAAGGTACATTATGTGACTACGTCAAAGACAAACGTTAAATCTATGTGCTCCACCTATCGATTCTTTTTTGCTTAATCATCTTTTTTTTTGTTTGTTTTTTTACATGTTTGTTTACGGATATTTACGCAAACCTATTTAAGGGCTATCTGTGCTAGCCAGCCCTAATTTGGAACTTATAGACTAGAAGGTAGGCAACTGGTCAACACCACCCACCGCTAACTCTTAGGCTACTCTTATCTGACTGTATAGTGGGATTTGACTGTCACACTTATAAAGCACCTACCGCCACAAAGTGTAGGGCACAATTTTGTTTTTTCACTGGACCTGCTCGGCCCTTGTTTTATCGTATCGTGTCTATTTCAAGGATGCCATTTTCTGAATGCTTATTAAGCTATTTTCCTTTGTTAGCAACTTGTTGTTTAACAAACAACTTGGCGATGTTTGCTCCTGATTATGTCTTTACTTTATTTAACGTTATCTTTATTAAAAAGACTTATAGTTGCACTTCTTATTTCGACATCCCCCATAGTGGCTCAGCGGTAAGTCTGAAGACTTATAACGCTAAAAATCGGTTCTTGTTATCCGCTTAGGTAGCTCATTGTGTAACTTTGTGCTCAAAACGAACAAAAAACTTGCACATTGCCAAATATTATGCTTACGAAATATTAAATTTTGGAGTTACAGAATGTGATATGAAAATCAGTCCTATTTGGGTGAGAAATGTTTCAAATCAAAAATAAGTTCCATTTCTTCTGATGTTACTGAGTTATACTTACCAAGTAATAATACCATTACGAAGCTAGAAACAAAATGAACGTTTCAACTTAAATTCTGGAGACTATAATCTAGGTGACCTTTGTACTGAGCGAATGTCTTTGCAACCTTGGTGACCTCTGTATTCAGTGAATGATCTTTGTAACCTCGATGATTTCTGTATTGAGCGAATAGTCTGTAACTTAGTTGACCGCTTTCCTGGACAAATAATCTTTGTATACTCCTAGGTGACTTCTCTACTGAACTAATGACTGTTGACTCTACTGTGTAACAACCGCTAATGTGTTAGTGGAATGTAACAACTGCTTGTGTGTTGTGTAACAACCAATAGTGTGTTAGTGGAGTGTAACAACGGCTAGTTTGTTATTAGAATGTAACAACCGCTAGTGTATTAGTGGAATATAACAACTGCAAGTGTTGTTGGAGTGAAGGAACTTCTAGTGTGTCATTGGAGTGAAATAATGGTAGTGTGTATTTGGAGTGAATGAACTTCTAGTATGTCATTGGAGTAAAACAACTGGTAGTGTGGGTGTTTGGAGTGAAGGAACTTCTAGTGTGTCATTGGAGTGAAATAATGGTAGTGTGTATTTGGAGTGAATGAACTTCTAGTGTGTCATTGGAGTAAAACAACTGGTAGTGTGGGTGTTTGGAGTGAAGGATCTTCTAGTGTGTCATTGGAGTGAAACAACTGGTAGTGTGTTATTGGAGTTAAAAAAACTGCTTTAAGTCTTAATGTACCACTACCACATAAAACTACGATCAAGTGTTTTATTCTCCTAAGTTTCATCAGAATACATCGCTTTTCATACATGAGGCTTATTGTATAAATTGAATGAAGTTACTGACAACTTCCAGAAAGCTATTATGATGTCAGTTGTTCGAAGTTGATGAGTGCAAATACAGTGTATCATTGAATTTGAACAAGAATGATCATACTTGAAACAGTTCATTTTCTAAAGATGGTGCTTCATTTATTTGTTTTAATCTGCAAATATCTTGGAATAAGAGCAAAACAAAACATCACTATCCAGTGTTTGGACATAAGTTATATCGTTTCCTTAATATGTATATATATACATCCGTTACTGTTTACAATCACGTGACCTCATACTCTATGAGCTGGAACAAACAGTCATTCAAGTAAGAATCGTCAGATATGTACAAATGAGTGGTAGCCACTTGACGTCATCATCTGAGAGACGTAGCTTTTCAATGGTGAAAATGCACAATTTAGTTTAGATTTAACTATTCTAATGATAGAGGGGGGAACTGCATTGCTATTGTGAAAGATAAGTATAGTGAATTGGATCAAACGTAGAAAGACTTCAGGATTATTTACACTAGATGATAGAAACGCCTTCTTCATTAGACTATTCATTTTCAAGCGTGTTTATTTGGTAGATCTGTCTTTTTCAGGAGTGTAAGATCCTGAATGTTGCTGAGAATTGTTTTATGAATTGTGTGGATCTTGGAGGCGTCCACATCTTTCTTCAGCTCTTCTACGTCACGTTTCAGCTTGGCTCGCCTGTTCTGGAACCACGTGATCACTTGGGCATTCGTTAAGCCTAACGACTGAGCGATCTCGTCTCTGTCGGCGGGAGACAGATATTTCTGGTATAGGAATCGTTTTTCCAACTCAAAGATCTGGTGATTAGTAAATGCTGTTCGAGATTTCCGTTTCTTTTTTGGTTGTTGTCGGTTGCTGAATAGGCTGAGATGATGGCGACTTCCATCTGAAGAAAAAAAAAAGAAATATTCATTGTAGGTTTTCCTTACCTTTACACCCCTTTTGTTGCAAGATTGATGATCAGGAAAAATTAAGGGTCGTAAAGTATAAAAGGGTTGTTCGATGATGTAAGAAAGGTGAAGACGTGAAAACAGAAACTGTTGAAACGATTTAATATTTTAAACTGATTTTATATTGCAAGCTATTGAAGCGATTTAGTATTGTTAACCAATTTCATATTACAAACTGCTACAACGAATTAACATTCTTAACTGATTTTACTTTATAAACTGTTGAAACGATTTAATATTTTAAACTGATTTTACTTTATAAACTGTTGAAATGATTTAACATTCTTAACTAATTTTACTTTCTAAACTGTTGAAATGATTTAACATTCTTAACTAATTTTACTTTATAAACTGTTGAAATTATTTAACATTCTTAACTAATTTTACTTTATAAACTGTTGAAATGATTTAACATTCTTAACTAATTTTACTTTATAAACTGTTGAAATGATTTAACATTCTTAACTGATTTTATATTAAAAACTGTTGAAATGATTTAACATTCTTAACTGATTTTATATTAAAAACTGTTGAAATGATTTAACATTCTTAACTGATTTTATATTAAAATCTGTTGAAATGATTTAACATTCTTAACTGATTTTATATTAAAATCTGTTGCAAATGATTTAACATTCTTAACTGATTTTATATTAAAATCTGTTGAAACAATTTAATATTCTTAATTAAGTTTATATTACTAACGATTGAAACAGCTTAACATTTTAAACTAATTTTATATTATAAACTATTGAAACGACTTAACATTCTTAAATTCTATATTACAAAGTTAAAACGACATAGCATTCTTAACTAATGTTATATTATAAACCATTTAACATTCTTAACTAATTTTATATTACAAACTATTGTATCAACTTCACATTCTAACAAGCTTTTGTTACTAAATATTGGAAAGTATTAATATTATTAACTATTTTCTATTACAAACCGTTGAAACTATCTAATATTCTTAACTTTTTTGCACTTGACTAAATAGTTGGAAGTTAGCAAGATTTGGAGACAAGCAGCTTCTCAACAATCGTTTAAAAGGAATTACAATGTGGGGGATATGCGTTGGTTTCTAACTTTGTTAGGGATATATGTGTTGGTCTCTAACTTTGTTAGGGATATATGTGTTGGTCTCTGACTTTGTTATGGGGTTGTGTTGGTTTCTAACTTTGTTAGGGATATATGTGTGGTCTCTAACTTTGTTAGGGATATATGTGTTGGTCTGTAACTTTGTTATGGGGTTGTGTTGGTTTCTAATTTTGTTAGGGATATATGTGTGGTCTCTAACTTTATTAGGGATATATGTGTTGGTCTCTGACTTTGTTATGGGGTTGTGTTGGTTTCTAATTTTGTTAGGGATATATGTGTGGTCTCTAACTTTGTTAGGGATATATGTGTTGGTCTCTGACTTTGTTATGGGGTTGTGTTGGTTTCTAACTTTGTTAGGGATATATGTGTGGTCTCTAACTTTGTTAGGGGATATATGTGTGGTCTCTGCCTTTGTTAGGGATGTGTTGGTCTCTAACTTTGTTAGGGATATATGTGTTGGTCTTTAACTTTGTTACTTTGTGGTCATGATTCGAATAAACGTATAAAGGCAGACTAACGATACAGAACAGCGGATCAAGTCTGGTTATTATTAAACGTTTAAGTTCTACCCCGGGTTATCTCAGGTTAACAATAATAAACATCTAATTATTATCAAACCTTTTAGTTCTACCCGAGGTTATCTCAGGTTAACATTAATAAACATCTTATTATCAAACCTTTTAAGTTCTACCCCGGGTTAACATTAACAAACATGCGCGTATCAAAATTTGAAGTTTTACCCCAGGTTATCTCAGATTAACATTAATAAACACGTTATTTTCAAACCTTTCAGTTGTACCCCGGGTTATTTCAAGTTAACATTAACAAACATGTTCGTATCAAACCTATAAATTCTACCCCAGGTTAACATTAATAAACGTGTTATTTCCAAACATACCAGTTCTATCCCAGGTTATTTCGAGTTAACATTTAGTACACGAGTCTTCCCTCATAAACGAAGTGAGAAAGGAACCAGTCTTTTATCATTCAACTAATTGCAGAATTAATTTTTACATAGAATACAATGTATTGGTCTATCCAAAGCGCACACGAGTTACAAAAGCGTTGATTTATCTCTTGCTTTGTAACTATACACAAAGAACTGCATTGAAAATGTGTTACACAGGACCTGAATGCATCAAATAATTACTAACAAGTGTTGACTGAAAAAAAAAAAAAAACAAGCCAGATAACTCATCTTCAGTTCGTCACTACCTGAATAGGATCTCAAAAACCAAACAAGGTAGCAGCGACATCTTAATTGAGTTTGAAATTGAATTTACACGCGAAAAAAAAGTCGTACATTTGAAAGTTAAATAAAAATTGTTTTTATAAACTTGCTGCGAGCTCTCTTTAATTACTTTTTATTTGAGGCATTTCTCTACTTGTTCTCATTATGTTGTATCTAGTCGTTGAAAAATTAACAATAACTCGAAAATAGTTTGTGTACATAGGACTATTTAAAGTAACTTTGAAAGGACGTAAATAATTTTAATGTTTCTCTTTGAGTTTAATGTGAGGTGTCGTAAAATAATTTTAATGCTTCTCTTTGAGTTAAATGTGAGGTGTCGTAAAATAATTTTAATGCTTTTCTTTGAGTTAATTGTGAGGTGCCGTAAAATAATTTTAATGCTTCTCTTCGAGTTAAATGTGAGGTGTCGTAAAATAATTTTAATGCTTCGCTTTGAGTTAAGTGTGAGGTGTACGTAAAATAATTTTAATGCTTCTCTTTAAGTTAAATGTGAGGTGTCGTAAAAAAATTCTAATGCTTCTCTTTGAGTTAAATGTGAGGTGTCGTAAAATAATCTTGATGCTTCTCTTTGAGTTAAATGTGAGGTGTCGTAAAATAATTTTAATGCTTCTCTTTGAGTCAAATGTGAGGTGTCGTAAAATAATTTTAATGCTTCTCTTTGAGTTAAATGTGAGGTGTCGTAAAATAATCTTAATGCTTCTCTTTGAGTTAAATGTGAGGTGTCGTAAAATAATTTTAATGCTTCTCTTTGAGTCAAATGTGAGGTGTCGTAAAATAATTTTAATGCTTCTCTTTGAGTAAAATGTGAGGTGTTTGAAAGCCTGTTATAAACTAAAGTAAAAGTAATCTTGACAGTTAGTGAAAAACTACAGTCAACGGAACAAACTGTCAGAAGTCTGACATCAGAGAAAGTAGTTTCCATTCATTCGTACGTCCTCTTCAGTCTCACGTGCCCGCCAGAGGCACAGCGGCATGTCTGCGGACTCACAACGCTAGAAACCGTGCTTAACTTCAAACAAACAAACAGTCTCACGTTGTCTTCTTATTAATTTGGAAGTGTTTAAAATATGCAAAATATCTTTAATATAAAGTATCTGATAGAAGTTTTTAAAAAAACTTGGATTGAATTAAAAAAAAACAACACAACAACAATAGTGAACAGGTTTATCAGTGGATGATTTTCTTGCAACAAACTAAAACATATTCTGGTGCATACAAACATAACTATGGTGAATAATGTTTGGAGACAAAAATTACATTTTATGTAATAAACAGCCTGGTGGTACTAGGTGATGTTTCTAACATATTTGTCTAAGTTATCACTGCTATTGGTAATGAGTACCCTTCATTAGGCTTAGTCTGTTCAAGTTAGATAATACTACTTAACACATCTCTAAAACACATCTCTAACAATGTTACTATAGTTAGAGAAGTTATTTACACGAATGAATGACCATGTTAACAAACGGTACCTCACACCTATATATTTATAGTAGTACCATTCGTTCCAATAAATGACTACATATGAAACGGAAATGCAGGTTTATTTCCTGTACTTTGTCCATATTTGTTCTGCTGCAATGAGAATCGTTGGTCGATAGGTGGAGCTAGGGGTGTGTCGAGGTCTAGATTTAGCATGAGCAGCACAATAGAAAATGGACTATTAGACATTCGCGGCGTTGAGCAATTGTTCAGGACAGAGAACGCGTGATACCCGTGTAGAGAGGTAAATAACACGTGTTTTTCAAAAGAAAATTGAATTAGAGAAACTAGTCAACAGAAACGTCGGAGTGAGATATTTATATATTACAAGTCACGCGGCGACCACTCTGTTCAAACTGTATTACATTCATTCTACCTCATGATGTAGTCGCCAGTTAATAACATACGGCGTCGCGGTGGAATGTGCTCGCTTTATTATAAGAAACGCTAAAAACCTGGTTTCGATACCCGTGGCGGGCACAATACAGATAACTTTTTCTGTGGCATTGTGCTTAACAAACAAGCAAACAAATGTGTGTTATAAGAAACACATAAATAAAACATCACAAAATTAGCAAACATTTAAAGATATACACTTATAGAAAAACATTTACCTTTA